AAAACTGGCAGCAGCGGGGGCTGTTACTTTTGGGCACCGCTCGCAGCCCCGCGCAAACGCCCGGTCTCCTCCGCCTCCGCGCGCTAGTCTCCCCGCTGCTAGGACTCTCAGCTCCCCAGCTGCGCCCCGCACGCGCGGCCGCGGGAGAAAGTAACGCCGCGCACCCTAACCGCCCCTTCTGCCCTCCCCAGCCGGCGCGTCTCCTGCCGATGGCGTCTTCGCCGTCATCGGGGTACCCTCGTTCTCATTGGTTGCGCTCGGAGATCTCACTATGCTCACTCCATCCCTTCGGCCAATCATCGTGTGGTGGGACCGCTTTGTCCCCCCAGCGGCCCCACGCCTGACGGGCACCGGCTCCTGCCCGGCAGCCAATCAGCCAATAGACGCGAGCACTTCTGGTGCTGGTGTTGTGGTTGTTGATGGGCGAGGAGAGGCTGGCTGGGGTGAGCGAGGGACGGGTGCTGGCGCGGTGCAGGTGAGCCCGGGGCCGAGCGCGCGCTGCCCCGTGCCGGGGGCGGCCAGGGGTCTCGGGGTTGCGCTGCTGGGTTTCCCTCTCCCGGGGCTGGTCGGAGGCCGGGGGCGCTGCTCTTCCCCCGCAGCGATTTGAATTAGTCCGACAAGAGTCAAATGGCCAGTGCCAGAGCCACTTCCCGCGGCAGTCAGCCCGAGCGGAGCCGCGCCACAAGGGGGGAGCGAGCGAGCGAGCGAGCAGCATCCTTACAAGTAACCCCCGAACCAGCCCCGCTCCGGGTGAGGCTCCCCCACTGCAAAGGTCTTTCAAGCGATCATGTCAAAACACTGTGACTTTAATTGGGAATTAGTCAGGGTGTTTTTGCCATGTAGCTAACCGAAAATGTAACGGAGAAAACTATTGTGTGGGGAGACTAATATCTATTAATATTTCCGTAGGACTAGATATTCAAATCGTACTTCAGATGAATACTCGCTGTGGTGGCTGCTCATTTGGGTAACTGTTCAGAAGCTTCAGGGGGTAGCTGAGTTAGTCTGTATGGGATAAACTTAAACAACAAATGGTCTGGTAGCACTTTATGAAACACTGAGGTTTGAGGATTTGCACTGAACTGTTCCCTTTAACTACAAGAGAAAAGAAATTCTGTTTTGGGATATAGTGAGTGCATCCTGTCTTAACATAAGGGTTGTCTTGCTGGTAGGTTCTAAAGTGTACAGTTGCTTGGCATCTACTAGGTAAGTAATGTTGCTATTTGAAACATTTTGTTCTGTTGTGTGGAAATACAGTGGGTTTGCTGTAATGCATAAGATCTTTGTGTTTAGGAGTAAAAATAGTTAAAAGGTTCAAGCATGTCAATTTTCCATTAGTTGCAATGCTTAAACTTTAACACTGGGTAAACACTGCTCCAGTTGGATGGAGATCTTCGGGGTTTTTTGTTTTAAGTTTAAAATGCAAATTTTGACTAACAAATGCCAAGAATGAGGAGGGGAAGGATTTCCAATAAAATGAAAAACTTTTGAAGGATCCTGGTGTTTTCTGTGGTGTTTTCTGTGGAAATGCTTATTTAATCCAAACTCTTTACCTAACTTGATGGAAGGTTGTTGAGCAACTCTATTGAATAGTCTGAAGAAATTCTTTGCTATTTAGTCACTAAAAGTTCTACTTTTAGTATATTGAACATTTTTTATATCAGCTAACCTTACTGCATTTTATTTAGCAGGGGCTGCGTCTACATAGGCATGATCTTGCACAAATACTTTTTAAAGTATTTGCACAAGAGAGCGTCTACACTGGCATGTGCTTTTGCGCAAGAGATGTGCTTTTGTGCAAAAGCATCTGTGCCAGTGTGGACGCTCTCTTGCTCAAGAAAGCTCTGATGGCTATTTTAGCCATCGGGCTTTCTTGTGCAAGAAATTCATGTTGCCTGTCTACTCTAGCCTCTTATGCAAGAAAAGTTGCGCAAGAGGGCTTATTCCTGAGCGGGAGCATCATAGTGCTTGTGCAAGAAGCACTGATTTCACACATTAGAACGTCAGTGTTCTTGTGCAAGAACTCCCCGCCAGTATAGACAGGCAGCATGTTTTTGCGCAAAAGCAGTTACTTTTGCGCAAAATCATGCCAATGTAGATGTAGCCAGGATGTTTACTTAGAAAAGTGGTTCTCAAATGTTTTGGCCCATGGCACAGCTGGCTTAATACAAACTTTTCTGTGTACCACCAGTAGCTAATGGAAACTTGCCGTTAATCACATATTTATGCCTGAGCCATTTTGCTAGTGCTACAGCTAGGGAGAACAGTTTAATTTAACCATTAAAGAAAGGAAATATTAAATTATCAAACAGATTAAGCTCTTTAACTTTCTCATGTTAGTTTATCAAACTTCATTTTAAATGAAGTAAAATATTAATTTATGTCCAACACAGAAGGTTTCAATGTTTTCTTTATTTATGGCAGGGGTGGGAGAGCCTTTTTTGGATCAGGGGACACTGACACACAGAAAAATCAGTTGGGGACCACACAAGTGAAAAGCAAAAAAACCCCTCCAAAAACCCAAATCCTCACTGATCTGGCAAATGAAACGCCCCAAATGAAACGCCTCACTTCTCTAGCATTCCAGCTTCTTGGGTCGAAGTAGAGGGGCAAGGAGGACTGAGGTTCAGGATTTCCTGTGGGCCAGATTTACTCTTCTGTTGTCTGGCCAATGGGGAGGGTGCAGAAGCAAGGGAGAGTTCAGTAGCAGGGTGGGGGTAGTGTGTCTTAGGAGGGGTAAGGGTGCAGGAACAGGCTTGGGGTAGGGTGTCTGGCCAGAGGAGAGGGTGCACTTACCTGCTTTCATGCCCCAACACTGCTCCCAGGCACAGCTTGCTGCTGCTCCCATTGGCCACAACTCCAGCCCCTGGGAGTAGTGGGGAAAGTCTTTATGCAGCAGTCTGTACGCTGCTGTTCCACCAGCCTGGGTAGGGGGAGTGGCAGCATGTGAAGCTGCTTCTGGCTCTGCTTCTTCCCCACATGCCAGATCTTGTAGGGAGGCTTGGGGCTCCTCCCACCTATTAGGGAGGCTGGGGCTGGTGCTCCAACCTTGTGAGGATAGGCATGAGGCTGGAGCACCAACGCGGGCTCCTTGCTGCGGGGAGAGGGAAGGATCGGAGAAGCAGGGGTTGAGCTCAAGCAGGTGGTCTGTGGACCGCAGTTGGAGAATCATTGACTTAGAGGAATTGTTTAAGGCTGAAATAATCAGATTTGCTTTACTCAATATTTGAAAAGAATCCTCTTTGCTCAGTGTTATACATCTAAACAAATTAAGAGTTTCTGATGATAAACGTACAGATTTTCTGAACTGGATTGCAACCCAGACTGGTTATTAGAAACATTTGGATCCAAGGGGGTGTGTGGGAATTAAATGTGACCAATTTTGGGAATGGCTGGAGGAGCTCTGTGACCCTGCACATTTTTGGGGAGATCCTGTGGCCCTGCTTGCCCTCACTCCCCTGTTTGGATTTATCCTGTAGTCCTCTGCTCGATCTGATTTTAGATTAACTGCAGGATTAGACCTGTTGATTCTGTTTATGTCCCCGTTTTGTGCATTTTCTAAAGTATAATGTACTTTTTCATTGTTCTTTTTAATTCTCAAACTTAACCATTTTTATTTAAGGTTTAAGTAGGTGGCTGTTTGAATAGCATTAACTTGCCAGTAACTGATTCAGTTTTACCTTTTAATATGTATAGGCAGTTTCAAGAATTCTGCAGAGAAACTGCAAGTGTGAAGTTTTATATTTGAACAATGGCAGGCAATGATAGTGTTGACATCCTGAACTCGGCTTACCTGGCTGTGGAATACATCGACTCTTTCTTGCCTGACAATCCACTGCAGCAACCATTTAAAAATGCTTGGAACTATATGCTGGACAATTACACCACATTCCAGATTGCAACCTGGGGATCACTTCTAGTTCATGAACTTGCATACTTTTTGCTCTGTTTACCTGGATTTTTATTTCAGTTTATACCTTGTATGCAAAAGTATAAAATTCAGCAGGTAAGACAAAGACTCGTGGATTTTTAGTTGCTTTGTTTTTTGTAAACATTGTATGATAGTCTAACTTTGTATTTGACCAATTGTCAGGAATCTTCAACTGCAGACCCATAAGTTCTTGATATGCTTGTCTATATATTTTATGGGAGGTTCACACCTCTCACTTCCACCTATATAAAGGTATAAGTTACTAGGTTTGGTGAAAGAACTCTTTCATCTTTGAGAGGGGAAGGGATCCATTGCTCCCAGAGTAAATGCAAAGGACAGCTTTGCAGCAAAGCTTTTTCTGACACTGTTCCATTACATAGATTGGAATAGAGGCTACATCTTCTTGTGTGAAAGATTTGGGCTCTTAGCTAAGTAATATATCAGACCTCAGTGGTTCAGGAGCCAAAATAGCAGTCAGCATTACCCAAACATGCCACAGAAGTGTGAATTGATTTTCACTGCTTCTGGCAGGCAGAGTGTCACTGCCCCTGGGCTTCAGCTGTGTCGTGGCTGGGGATATGGGGCAGTGTGCCCACCCACCCTGTGCTCCAGGGCCAGAGAGGCTGGGGCCTCTGATAGGCAGCAGTGTGGGCCAGGAGCCGATGATTAAAAGCTGGCTCCCTGGGAGCACTGGTTTTCACCTGTCCCCTTGAATCTAAATGTGTAACCACTGAAAATTCTTGCATGTACCAGCTCCTGCCTACTCCCTTCACTCTCCACACTGCTGCCCCTCCATCAGAGGCAGCAGCGCAGAGGGGCGGGAAGACAGCTCCACAGAGCCAGTGCTCATGGGAAGCTGGCTTTTAAGTTGATTTTCCCCTTCCCCAGCATTGGCTCCATCTTCCCCCTTTCCCTCCTGCACTGCTGCCTCTGTGGGAGATGGGTGTGGGCAGCCAGCTCCTGCCTACTTCTCCATCCCCACGGGTGCTGGGGGTGGGGTGGGACTGACAGCTCAGCAGGCGCTGGTACTTGCAGGGAGCTGGCTCGAAAGCTGGCTCCCTGCATGTATCTACTCCCACTTGCCCCTCCTCTCTTACTGCCTCTGATAGAGAGGCAGCAAGTGGGGGATGCATGTAACATTTAGGATTAACTGATAAACCCAGGTTTATTGGATAATGGTAAAAACAGGTACACGCTAACATTGCTATTTTCCAGCAAAACTGGGGATCTCTTTCATATGGTTTTGAAACTTTTGCAGCTCTTAAATAAATTTTTTTCTCCTATCCCCAAGTTATTGTAGTGATAGAGTTAAATAAATGCCAACAAAATGAAAGAAGATTTATTTAAGACACTGTTCATCTCAGTCAGTTTTCACTTGTGTGGAGCTCGGATGTTATTCTGCCAGCTCTTTAGTGCTGGCAGTGATAATTTTTCAGAGTAGACAGGATCTGAATTGTTTTTCTTTCTTTTAGAAAGGTAAAAAGAATTCTGGGAAGCCCCACTTTCTGGTCATTTTTATGTATGTCCTCCTTTGCTTCTTACTGAGGCTTTTTCAAGATCACATTACAGTATTAACACATCACTATGTGTGTTTGCTTCTCTTCATAATATGATGAGTTGATTTAAAACTACTAAGCGTGAAAATCAATGAAGGATCCACTTTATCCTAACTTACAATAATATATTAGGTGTTACTGGTACATACGCAGTATGTTTTCTGTAATAAATTGACTGTCTAAGATTTTACAGTTGTCGCTGTTAGGAACACAGAAACAACTTGGAAATATTTGGTGGTCAAAACTTTCCTCAAAAGCACAGACCCTTACTATTGGGTAAAGGAAAATATTTGTCAGCACTCGTGGAGAGCCAACTTGAAAGATGGCTCCCTGCACCTATTGGCTCCCACCTGCGATCCTCGCGCTCTGTGGTCCTCCCTCTGTATCAAAAGCATCAAGTGGAGGAGGTAGGAGACAGTGCTCATGGGGAGCCAACTCTTAAGCCAGCTCCCTACGAACACCGGATTTGCTTGCTCCCCAAACCTCTGTGCTGCTGCCTCATGTGCCGACTTCGCGGACCCACCTGCCCTCCCCTTGCTACTTCTACAGAGGCAGAGGACAGGCACCCACTGCCTGCTATCTTCTTCTCTCATCCCTCTTCCCCTCTTCCCCCCCCCCCCCCCCCCCCCACCCGGCGGCGGGGGGAGGACGGCAGACGGGCTGCTTCAGGGCAGCAGCCCCTGTCAGAGTGGGAGGTTGAGTTCCCTGCGGGAGAGAAACTGCTCTACCTCCCACTGGCTCCTCTTGCAGACAGGATTCCATCTGCCAACCTGTGCTGCTGCCTTTGATAGGCCTCTGGGGACTATCAAATAGTCGTGTAACAGCTACACTACATGACTATTAAATTAAATGCTGTCTAACATCCCTACTATCAAGTAGAGACCAGTGTGGATCTAAAGACTAGATAGTTCATTATAGTGCTATATGTCTGTATTAATAAAGCACAGCTTAGCAAAATAGGAAACGTAGTCAAGCCTTTTCTCTTTAGTAGCTTGAAGTCAAATCTTGAGAATTCCCTTCTTTGTACTTGATACTTCTGAAATATTGCACACTAGGACTGATGATTATAACTTTCTTTTTCCTAGGATAAACCAGAAACATGGGAGAAGCAGTGGAAGTGTTTAAGAACACTTCTCTTCAATCACTTTTGTATTCAGCTTCCCCTGATATGTGGTACCTACTATTTCACAGAGTACTTCAATATCCCTTATGACTGGGAAAGGATGCCAAAATGGTAGGTAGAAACCTTTGCTATTGTGCTTATATACTTCTGTTTTAACTTTCTGTTGGAAGAACAGATGACAGTACCTGTGCAACGTTCCCTGCTGCCTGGGGACTTGGTATGCTGCACGGTTATGTGATTGCTTTGAATGAATGTGTGGTTCATAGACCTACTCCTTCTCACTGAAGTTTATCCAGTTGCAACAATGGGACCAGTCTAGTGTCCTATATTTGATATTGTGCCTAATGTGTGCAACATTGTTCAATTCCTGGAGGGGAAGGAGTTGAAAAACTAAATCCAGGAACAGGTTGTGGAGGTAGCCATATTTGTCTGTTTCAGCAAAAATAACAAGGATTCTGGTGACACTCTACAGACTAAGCGACAAGGAGTGCTGTGGCCATGCACGCACATGCATCTGGCGTAGTAGGTCTTTGCCCACGAAAGCTTATGCTCCAATACATCTATCTGTTAGTCTATAAGGTGCCACAGGACTCCTTGTTGCTTTTGCAGATCCAGACTAACACAGCTACCCCTCTGATACTCTACAGACTAACAATTTTATTATGCTTCAGAGGGGTAGCTGAGTTTAGTTTCTACAGGATAAACTTAAAAAACAACAAATAGTCTGGTAGCACTTTTAAAGACTAACACAACTTATAGATGGTATCATGAGCTTTCGTGGGCACAGAAATGGGCTGTGCCCACAAAAGCTCATGATACCATCTACATGTTTTGTTAGTCTTTAAGGTGCTAAAGTGCTACCATATTATTAGTTATTTTTAAGTTTATTTTATTATGGCAGAAGCTTCTGTGAGCTGCAGCTCACTTTATCAGATGCATGAACTGAAAGATAAAGGAATAGATACAGTAAAACTCTGATGGTCCGGCACTCCTGATGGTCCGGCACCATCAGGAACCCAGAAGTGCTCCGGGCAGCCGGACCATTGGAGCTGCTCTGCCCCCAGCTTCCCCGATTCAGCTGCTGCTGAAACTGACCAGCAGCGGCTGAATCAGGGACGCCTGGGGCAGAGCCAGACTATCAGAAGGGGGGGCTATGAGGGGTCTGGGGTGGCATCCACCCCACTCCCGACCCCTCATAGCCTCCCCTTCCAATAGTCCGGCATATTTGATAATCTGGCACCCCCTGGGTCCTAAAGGTGCCGGATTATCGGAAGTTTACTGTAGAAGGGATACAGAGATGGGAGTGTTACATCACAGCTAATTCCACCATGGTGGATGTGGATAAAAAGGTGAGAATACCTAAAGTGGAAAATTACATATGGTAATGAGTGAGCCAGTCCTTGTTTCCGTGGTCACCAGCCAGTCGATTGCGATCGACAGGTCTATTGTGGGGGGCACAACCAGTCAGTCGGGAGGTGTTCCCATTCCCCCGGCTCCGCTCTCCCCCAACAAGGAGCCTGCACTGGCGCTATAACCTCTTGCGAAAATGGAGATGGTGCCATCTTCCTGCAGTGTGTGATGAGGGGAAAGTCGCCAGATCCAGTGTCTCAGGAGCACACACTGCTTCTCCCCTCCCCACAATACTGGGTGTGCTTGTTGAGATGCTAGCTCTGGCACGCAGCCGCAGGAATTCCTTCCCTATGCTGCCTGCCTTCCTGTAGCATGGGGGTGTAGGAGTGAGAAGTCCACAGTTGCATGCTAGAGCCGATTTCTCAGGAAGCACATGCTGTTGTGGGGAGGGGAGGAGCAGTAGGTGTGTTTCCTGAGAAGCCAGCTCTGGCATGCAGCTGCGGGATTTCCCCCCCCACACACCCTGCATGTGTTTTCTTACTTTTTCTTCCTTCCCTGTGCCCTGGGTGTGCGCGTGTGTGCGCTACCCAGAGATCCACAGGTACCGGCCCAGCTGTCCCTGCTCCTGCCCCCTGCTCAGGCCTCTAGCAGCACCCTGGCCAGACCCCCATCCAGCACTCTGCTCCTGCCCCTTCCCTCCTGGCCAGACACCTACCCCCAGTTTGATTCTGGACCCTATCTTCCACCCCGATTTTGCACCTCCATCTCTATTCCACTCATTGGCAGACATGGATACTGGATCCCTCATTTTTAGCCCCACTTCAGTGTGTAGAGGGGCCCACAAATTCCACTAACCCTGGACCCAGAAGAGTTAATCTGGCATCCGGTCTTAAACCTCAATCCCACCCTACCCTTCCCTCCATGGGGTTGGAGTGCCAGGGGAGTGAGGTTTCTCAGTTGGGGCCACATCGGTGAGGCTTGGGGGGTTTTGGAGGGGGTTTTTTTTTTTTGCATTGTATGACCCCTGACTGATTTTTCTGTAGGTCAGTGGTCCTTTACCCAAAACAGGTTCCCTGCCCCTCACATAAATAAAGACAATGCCAAGACATTTTGTGTTGGACATAGTATTTTATTTGAAAATGAAGCCTGGCCAAGAAGCCCCCCAATTGGGGTCAAACCCTCCATCTGGCCCTAGCATCATAACACTCCTGCACCCCCCTCAGATCCCAACAATGAGCCCATCATACACCTGAACCCTTTGCCCTGAGCCTCTTATCCCCAAACTTCTGTACCCCCACATCCCCAGTCTTCTGCCACAACACTCCTGTTCCATCCACACACTGCAAATCTGTGTCCTGAGCCCATCATACTCCCAATATCCCTGCCCTGAGACCCTCATACACCCCAACCTCCTGTACCCCTACCTCCACAAGGTGGCTTGCTCAGCCCCTCCACCCTCTCCATCCTGGAGCCCCCTCCCTGAGCCAGCATCCCCTTCTCCATCTCCTCCTGCATCCATATTCCTTCTCAGTGCTTGTACCTTTCACCCCTTCTCACATCCAAATCTTTCATTCCCACCCCAGAGCCTGCACCTCCAGTCTCAACCCAGTGAGAGTGAATAAGGGCTGGGGACAGCAAATGATGGAGAGGAGGGGAATGGAGAGGGCAGGGCCTCAAGGAAGGGGTGGGGTTTTGGGGAAAGGATGGGGTAGATCTTGGCTTGCCCTGACTTTTAAAAAGTGATCTTGGGTGTAAAAAGGTTGGAGACCACTGCCCTACTCAGACTAATCCTGATGGTGTCAAATTTGCATATGAATTCCAGCTCAGCAGTTTCACATATGTTACCTGGGGGACTTAGGTAATCAATTACTGTGGAAGCCAAAACCTGTAGTGAAGCCTAAGGCAGGTTGCCCCCCACACAGAAACCAGATTCGACCTGGTGTTACGTATCTAGTCACTGTTGGATTGGGTAACCACAAATCAGGTGAGAGACCAATGTTTAGGGCCAAACCATATGTTTTGAAAAGTCAAATGCACAACAACAACAACAACAGTATAAACCCACCCTATCCCAGAAGAGAAACCCCCACCCCCACACCCTCCCCCCACAGAAGCCAGATTCGGCCTGGTGTTACGTATCTAGTCACCATTGGATTGGGTAACCACAAATCAGGCGAGACCAATGTTGAGGGCCAAACCATATATTTTGAACAGTAGAACATACACCACCAACAACAGTATAAACCCACCCTATCCCGGAAGAGAAAGAAGATAGAAAAGTCCTGAATACACAAGGGGGGGGTTATACTTTACAATGTCAGAGGCGGCGATTGAGGCCTGCGACCTTCTACCCCGCGGCTAATGGGAAGCCTTAGGGGAGGACGGCAGAGCGTCCCTCGCCGACAGGGGAAGGGGTCCAGTTGAACGGTCCTCCGGTAGATAAGCCCTCGCCTCTGGTGGATAAGGTAGATTCCCTCTGGGGTCGGTACTTGGTAGCCCTTCGACTTCCAGTCCAATCCAGCAGGTAAGGATAGTTATGAATAAGTCCAAGTCCATGTGGCAGAAGCCAGTAATCCTTAAGTGGAGCGTTCCCACGCTCACGAGGCTCTCTTCCACAACTCGAACCAGTACCCATTAACTAAAATGGAGCACCACGGGAAACAGACAAACACTGACAGGACTTTAAACAGCAGACAGTGACTGACGAACCTCAGTAAAGACGGACAGTGGCGAACCCGAACCTTCCTTTGGTCAGGGCTGATAAACCTTTCAAGGCGGGAAAAGGGTGGTAAGGGCTGAGTGCACAGAATGGTGCTGTGTGCAACGCTCCAAGAGGGAGGAGTGCACTATTTTGCGGTGGTGTGCAGCTCATTTGAGTGCCTAGTGCAGTTTTGAGCTGAGTCATAGCTATGGGGAGGGGTGCTCATGGTATAGGGCAGTGTGCACTTAAGGTTTTGGCGGGAAATGAAGGGTAAAAGAAGAAGAAAGAAAACAAGATGGAATCTGAAGAGACTCCATTTTGAAAAGTAATGACCCTGATTATCCTTTCCCAGGCAACACATAGCAGCCTGTTTTTGAAGTTGTTTTGCTTCAAGATGGCATTGCCATCCGTTTCTCCTCTGACTTTCACTACATGCATCTGATGAAGTGAGTTGCATCTCACCAAAGCTTATGCACTAATAAAATTGTTAGCCTTAAGGTGCCACCAGACTCCTTGTTGTTTCTGCTAAATCCAGACCAAGATAATGTGGCTGGAAGTTAATACACCCTCTGTGGTGCACTCTTGTATATGCAAGAATCAATAGTGATAGTGATATCACTTTCAATAGTGATGTGTTTAAAATAGTGCAATAGGGTAAGCTTGTAGCCACTGAAAATCTTAGTGGTAACATGGGGTATATCTATACTGCATAGCTATTTATCCTGAAAGCCTCCCATTATTTCAAAATATTTTTTGAAATAACGGCATGCTGTTTCATCATCCTGGTAAACCTTGCTGTGTACATGTGCCAAATTTCAAAATAAACTATTTTGAAATAAGATACACAGTTTATGTAGCGCAAATTGTGTATCTTATTTCGAGTTTAGGGTGCTGTGTAGATGCACCCATGGTTACCCACACTGTGGGCTCTGGAGTATAAAGCTTAGCCGTATACTGCAGCAGCGACCTTGGGAACTGAGTAGGCAGCCTCTGCTGGCCGGGCTCCATGGGAGGAGGCTTTGCTGAGTGTAATTGACTCTGTCCAAACAACAGTTAGTTGTTTGCACTTGAACATCCCTAGTTTTTGAGCCACCGGTTTCATCTCCAGATATAACATGAAGTGCATGCGTAGGGTGTATATACACTGTACCATAGGTCGGACGCAGTTTGAGTTACCAAATTGCATATCCTATTTTGAAATAGTTTATTTAATAAATTTCAAAATAACCCGCTATTCTGAAATGTCCGTCACTCCTCAAGGTTTACAGGGACATTGGAGTAGCAAGCCCATTATATTTCGAAGTAACGGCATTTCTGTTAAGATGCAGGATAGCTATTTTGGGATATCTGCAATATCCTGAAATAGCGCTGCAGTGTGAATGTAGCCCTTCTGACTACAAACTGATGCATCTTAAAATCTGAACTCTTATGTTGTTTAAGTACTTATTTTCCTAGTTTCAGTGTCAGGAGAAATATTGTATATTGTAATATATAATATGAAATTACAATTTGTAACAATCAACATTGCCAGTTTCTTACAGGGTATGAAGTTGTCTCCTTTCTACAGTTAATGCTACTTTTAGCTCTTACTATATATATTGTACGTGTGTGTGAGAGCCAGTGAGTGTGCATTAAGGGCAAAACTAATAAGCTTGCTGTATTGCTCTTCCATTGAGCTGCATACAGATACCAATTAATAGTACTTAAAATTGTCCCTATATAATACTATGTTTTGTTAGCAATGACTTCTGTACAATATGTATTACTCAATGGTATTTGGTACCAGTAGATCAATGAAAGAGCTGTTTAATGTGCATTGTGGATGCATCTGTGGATAGCATGCTGCTATCTGGGTATTAAAACTACGTGAAAGTTAAACGTGTATTCCCTGCAGTGGTGAAAGAATGGTGTGTTCCTTATTAAAAGCTTCTGGATTTGACATGTTGGCAAAGAAATCGACTGCTTCTTTCATATGTTTCAATCTTGCTATAACTAAAAATATTTTTATTTTTAAAGGTACATACTACTTGCCCAATGTTTTGGATGTGCAGTGATTGAGGATGCCTGGCACTATTTTCTGCATAGACTCTTGCATCACAAGAGAATATACAAGTACATCCATAAAGTTCATCATGAGTTCATAGTATGTACTACTTAATTTCAACCTATGTGTTTAATATAATCTATTTATTTATTTAAAACAAATAGTCTTTATGCCCTTTTAGAAACAGGGAGAACTGCCAATCTAAGGCTACAACACCTAGACTACTCATGGTTTCTGAAAAGACATGCAAATTAGGCACGAATATGTATATCTTCTTCTGATCCGTTTTTTTGGAAGAGGTGGGTTTTTTTGGGTTTTTTTGTTTGTTTTTTTTTTATTTTTATTTTTATTAAAGCAGTCTGGACTGGAGTTTTTACACAAAAACTCCTTTTTTTGAAAGAACCCTTATTCCTCAAAAATGAGGTTTACAGGGTTCTTTCGAAAAAGGAGGCTTTTGCGTGAAAAACCCCATGTAGACTGTTTTGTTGTCCCTCTCTTTCCCCCTCAAAAAAAAAAAAAAAAAAAAGCTGTTCTGAAAAAGGTATTGGAGGAAGATGTGCAAACTCATGCCTAATTTGTGTATCCTCTTTCAGAAGCCACGGATGGTCTTCATGTGTCCTTACAAAATATGTTTACATTAATTACCCCAGTATTTGTAACTATCTTCCTAGCTATTAGCAGTGGTTTAAACAACTTAGAAATTAACTCAAATATCATAAATATAAAAGAAAGTGTCGAGCAGCAACTCTCTTCTCTTCCTTTCACTCAAAGGCAACCACATTTTGGGACCAGTTTTATATCATCTGACAGTCTGATTACAATTTTACTTGATTAATCATTTATTGTATTTAATGGCACACTGTCAATTTGACAGTCATGTTAGTTAGATTTTTAACGTACTATACATGTAAATACAATTATAATTTTTATAATTACTATGTAAGAATCTTTATTGTACTCAAAGATGTTTATAAATTTTCAGCTAAGATTATTATAGCCGCAAAGTTGGTTTGGGCTGTTATACCTTGGTTCAGTGATGTGGTGGGAGCCTCAAGAGTTAAAGCCGACTACCCAGTGAAAACTACTGGATGATGGTGAAACAAATGATTTTTTTATTAAATGGAATGATTCTTTTATCAAAACCAAATAACTTTCAAATGATTTTAAAAAACAAGCAATTACCTAATGCTTATACAGGGTGGAAAAACCTAAACTTAGCTATACTTAACTAATTACAAACTTCTTTGATTACAATTCAACTATACCAAATCACTGTTTCTAATTCTCTTAAGGCAGCGCAGTAGGCAAGCAAAAAAAACAACAACAAAAAACAAAGCCAATATAATGATAATAAAAACTTTGTCCACAGCCAGCCCCTCTATGGTTATTTTAGGCAGCTGGTGGAGTTAGTTATTAATCTACCTCTACAACTTAACTCCTGGGTTACTATTTCTAACGCTTATACTTAGCCTAAATACAACACCACTACACAACACAAGATTATACAATTTACACAGTGTGGTTAATAGAACTCAGTTACACTTTACAGAATTACACAGTGAAATTAACACGATTCAACTGTTAACTAAACCAATAACTAATATATTTAAGCAATACTTACAAATCCAGCAACGATAACAGTGTAGAGACACACTAGAACTCGGAGCATACGCAGGACTCGCGCACCCCTATCTTTGACTCGAAGGGTGGGGTGGCAGCCTCAGGGTGATCAATCCTTCAGCCGGGCAAAAAAGACACGTGCCCCCAACACTCAGAACCTCCATCAAACAAAGGGGTTGAGGGTCTTTTATACAAAAATTCGATGTCTAATGCCATACTATGGTCTTCAATTGGCAGGGTCTGATAGGCTAGTAATGAGGTAGTATGACAATACTGCCCTATAGGAGTTTTCGTGATGCATGCGTGATCCCCTCGTGGACAGGACCAGATGGGGCATGGTCAGTGTGCATGGCAGTTGCGTCTTATCTCCCTATGCCTACCTCCTTACCTTCAAGGACCAGTCAAGAGAGTCTTAACTATCTCTTGCAGCTGTGTTCTATCTATTTATGCTCATCTCCCTGATCTATGATGCCTACAAGGTTAAATTTCATTCACAAAAAGCTGCATTGTGCTTCCCAGGCTCCTCGGAGTATCTCACGGTCTGGGTTTTCTGTGAGGGGCCCTGTGTGGCAGGATGGGCTATACGCGAAGGCCATGATCAGAAAAAGCCTGCTCTACAACATGGGAAAATAAGTTTCTAAATATAGTTACTTCAATTGCTTATCTTGTATAATCCTGAAAAGATCCTTCTAATAAACAATAGCATGGCAGCAAAAAAATACTATATACTCTAATGAATAAAAAATACCACGACGTACTAGTTGAAATTCCAGAAGTAGTCTTAAAAAATTCAAGTTGAGTGTTCTTCTTGAAAACTGTTTCAAATATTTTATTTCTTAAACTTAAATGTGATGAATTAGGATATTTTATATATCATTCTCATTTTGTAAGGATGCTTCAGGACCACCAACCAAGTCCACAGGATACCTTGTGAACCTAGCAAAGCAACACCACCACCTTAGTGTAGTAGACAATAACCACTTTCAAACTCCAGGTTCAGATTCAAGGAACAGATTTATTTTACCAGAGGTACAGAATGCAACCACCCAGTGATCATTTGGGGGTGAATGACCAATTAATAGGCTGCATGTACACTAACATAAACAAAGGCAAACAGCTAAATCTCAATGTGTTTTACCTTTTTTATATATCCAATATGGCATTCTACTTTCAACTCCCCCTTCTGGCTGCTTGTATAATAATTTTTGATCAAATAAGAAATTATGCATTATACAATGCATTATTCTCAGAGGGTATGTCTACATTTGTACCCTATTTCGAAATAGGGATGCAAATGAAGACATTTGAAATTGCAAATGAAGCCGGGATTTAAATATCCCACACTTCATTTGCATAATCGCATTATGGCATTATTTCAAAATAAAACGCACTGTGTAGACACGTTATTTTTAGAGAGAGCCCTTCTCTTGAAATAACTGGTAAACCTCTTTGTACGAGGAATAAGGATTATTTCGAGAGAAGGGTTGTCTTTCAAAATATTCACATCTTAACAGCGTCTGTTATTTCGAAATAGTGCCAGAATGCGAATATGCAAATGAAGCATGGGATATTTAAATTGCTTAATTTGCAATTTCAAATGTCTTCATTTGCATCCCTATTTCGAAATAGGGGGCAAGTGTAGGCATACCCAGAGGGGTGGATGTGTTGGTCTGTATTTGTAAATGAATGCGGAGTCCTATGGTAACTTAAAGACTAACAGGGTTATTTGGACATGATCTTTCGTGGGTGGTAACACTTGGTCAAATGCATCAATAGATTATAAACAATAGATCATATAACATGTTTATCTGCTCTATTAGCAATAACACAGCTATTAATCTTATTTCAGAAGGACTTCCGGGTCTTTGCTATTTTTATCCTTATTATATGTGGCAGGTCTACTGTACCAAAACCTGGAAAGTCCAGAAACTAAACAGAATATCTGATGAGCCAGAAAGGCTCTGTCTGCAGTCCTTATTTCCAAAAAGTTTATGCAGAGGTCTTATTAACTGCACTAAGTCAACAATTATATTGCTGATATCTAATATGTGACATGTATGATCCACTAAATTACATGTAGACCATGGCTATCTTACCTGTGGGTAAGATCATCTGATTGCTGTTTCACTTCTTTATGCTCCCCCACTTTACATCTCATTGGCCCTAAGGGACAAAAAGGAGAGTCTCTCATATTCTTCCTCTTGAGAATTGTTTGATTTTTACATTATAGGTTCTGTTTGGCAGTTTTCAAATTACAGTTTTGATATAGCAATACATTATGAATAATGTTATTAACATTACAAGCTGAAGCACTGATAATAGATATGAATTTATATCCATTCAGGCACGTGTTCCTATGTTGTGGCAGGAACTTAAAAATTACAAGTTTTTTCTTTTTTTCCAAAAACTTGTTGTAATTGCTCTGAGATCATTTGATTTACTACATGTTTTAGGTTTGGGAAGGTTGATAATGAATAGCTAAATGAGGAAATGTGTTCTGTCATTTGCAGTTAGTAAGCAGAAGTTACAAGCTTTCTTTATTTGCAAAGCTGTCATCAACATAATGCTGGAGTGACTCAGAATAATTAATTGCTTTTGTCCTTCCACTGATGTCAGGAAATACTCCTGGGGAACTTAAGCTCATGATCATGTGCCCTCTTGGGCAAGTATCTTAGAGCCAGTGGGTGAACTAGGAGTTGAACTCCAGTCTCTTGAGAACCCTGTTCATTTACACTGTTCTCTCTATTGGCCTGATTCTTGAGTACTTGACATACTACAGAAAAGGGCTTACTGTGTTTATATGTTTTGTTTTCCTCTCTTTCCTCCCAGTCTCCATTTGGGATGCAAGCAGAGTATGCACATCCTCTGGAAACGCTTATCCTTGGAGCTGGTTTTTTCATTGGCATTATTGTTTTCTGTAACCATATGATTCTTTTGTGGGCGTGGGTAATATGTCGCTTAATGGAAACCATTGATGTACACAGGTAAAGTACTGTGTTAATTATTTTTCTGTACTTTGCTCTTCTGCCTATCTTTGTGCTAGTATATATGATACTAGAAGGCTGTTTACCACACTACAAATAGAAGCTCACATGTAGTATAGATCAACAAAGCAGGATTGTGGTGCTTCTGTTATTTCAGTATCTTAGTTATTATTTGGATAGGATAAATGGCTAATTGTTGTTCTGTTTTGGCAATGTTAGTAGCAAAACTCCTTAGGCGGGAGGATAGGACATGCCCTAAAACAACTTCAAGCATTTACTAGAAACACAGCTTGTGAGTTTGGTGGCAGGATTACACATTTTGTGATCTCAGTTTGAGAGGTAAATCTCTGACGCCAATCAAGCTCCCACACATTACTTTGAGCATAGAGAGAGAATATTGGATATTCGGAACACAAATTACCTAACCCCTGCTAACATGGAATAAATGGGGTTCTATTTTACTAAAATGGAAGGACCTTAGGCTATGTAAACTTCTGTCAATAGGCTTGCCTATACAAGAAGGTGCATCTTAGGGAACCAATGTTACGCTTAAGATGCGCATGAGATTTTTATGGGGAAAAGGCAATACACTGCATTTGAGAATACAACGGTAAAGCAGTTAGCATACGCTTATATAGACAGACAGACACACACTTTAGTTACTGACCACTTAGAATTTTCAGTCATGCCTTCCCCCGAAGTCACTGCAGCAAATTTGTCTTTTTGCGAATCCCAGTTGTTGTTTTAAATGTTCAAAGAGTGATTTGCAGTGGTTAGAGCAGGGAAGAGCCTCTGTTGATCATAAGTTAACTTCTTGACCATCCTCTGTAAAATCTGATTCTTTTTTCAATTTTTTAATGCATTTTTATAAAACATGAGACTGTTGTTTTAACTTTCTGTTTCTATCGTTGAGGGAATTTAATTGAGTCTGGGTACTGATAGTCATGCATTTCCACCTCTTTGCTTCTATGACAGATGTCATGAGGCAGTTTACTGTTTTCATTTTTGCATCTAGCCAGCCTGAAAATATGTCATTACAGGTTTTTCCTAAGAGTCAGACTACAGCTGCCTATCTTTTCATTGGAGTTGATTGCTTTATACCAATAAATATTTGGCCAATTTATCTTCAAAATCTGAAATTTTATGGACATCAGCTAGTGCTTTGATCTGTCCGAGGGAAAATTTTTTGTAAAGTATGTTCAAAAGGGTTGACTTGTCTTGCAAAGGCTAATTTTTCGTTCTCTTCTCCAGGACCCTTTTTAGAAGTTGGCTTATGCTTGAACACTTTTTAATATCCCCAATCTCCTATTGGGATTTAGTAGAGCAATTCTTATCCCTTCTTATTTTTATTGTACCCTTAAAAAGCTATTTGAAAGAGAGAACAGGGTCGCTAAGCTTCTTTCTTTTGGGCTATACACTGTTACAAGTGAGGGTATACCACCTTTTAAATTATTCCCAGTGATTGGTTCGGAGAGTGGATTACTAAATCTCTCTCCTTTAGCTCTGCTACCACCAATGTGGTGTATATACCTTTAAAACAAGTCCTTGTTTCCTTAACAAGTGAAGGAGCAGAGAGTGGGAATTCGAATTCTCCACCTTCTCTCTTTGTGCTAGCAACTTTACAACTGGGGGAGGGAAAGAAATCTAATTCTCTTCCTCCCTTACTGGGACTTCCACAATCGGGGATGTGCACACCTTAATGATGGCCCCTTTCAATGCCAAAAACTGCAGTATAGTCCTTTAGTACTCAAAGCTATTTTTTCATTGATTCTCAACAAGATAACAGAGCATGCTATCCCCGTTAGCAATTCTCCACCAAAAATCTTTTGCTTATAAGAAGCACACAGGATCTTTATAGGGGGGAAAAGGCAATATTCTATGTTTATTGAGAATAAAATGGCAAAGCAATTAGCATATGCTTACATAGACTGACACACGCACATACACAAACACTCCTGCCACTGATGGTATAGTTACCAGTCTGTTGTTTACATTGGCCTGGTGGCCAAGTAGGCTAAGTGCAAGGAAGGAACCAGGTTCTGTCCATCCAGACTGAGGTTCTAGTCTGATAATAGTAAGACAAATCCAGCTCTTATGGGAAATCAGTCATATTTTTTTTTTTAATTGGAATTAATGGGTTTTACTTTTTTTTTTTTTTTTTTTTTTTTTTTTAATGAAAGTTCATTATTTTTGGTTGGGTTTTTTTGCTCTTTTTTTTGTTTATGAATATTTTGTCCCAGTTGAAAAATAGTCATGCTTTCCCTCCGTGTTCTGGGTCACCAATCTGACTTCTTTTGTTACATCTTTTAGTTGGTGGTTGGATTTTTTTTTTGTAATATTTTTGTTTAATGGTAGTCTTTACTCATATTTCTTACATGGTTTTTTTACTGTTACACATAACAAGAACAAGGGTTACAAATAAAATTTTAGGAAAAAGCAAATATTACGTTCTTTCACTATTATAATATGTAGTTTAAAACTAAAAACAAAATAATAACCAAAACATTTAAATCAATTTCTACTATACTTTTAATTTAAATAATTCTAAGTCATTTCTACAATCATTATAAAAATCTGAATATATTTTTTACTTGAAAATAATTTGGCTACGTATATAACATAAAATATTACTAAAAAATAGGAAATAGGGGCCTATGTCAGCTACCAAGAAAAAGTGCATATAGGTAATGTTCCATAATGCAAGTCTGCATATCTAAACCTGCTGTGAGTTTTGAAGGGTAACTTTACTTGTTTTTAATTAATCCAATCTCAAGGTGAAGCATATTTATGGGCAAGGAATTGAAAGATGAAGAATGGCATAAAAAACTGTAGGTTAGAACAGTGACCCATTCTTAAGTGCTCTAATAGCTTCATGGTATCAATTTTAACACTTCCCATGATTCACTTGACTTTAATTTGGGGAATCTGTTATGTCTTATGAATTGATGGATACAACAAACTAAATAAATGTGGCTAAAACTAAATCTAAGTAGTGCTCTTCAGTGTGAACAGCAGACAGAAACCATACCTGTCAGTGGACATTTTTCCGGAAGTGCTCATACTAACAGAGGCGTGGGATGAGTACCTCCATTTGATTTTGCTATAGTATTCCTATCTTGCCACTAGATGGTGTAAGATGCTTTCTGGTACCTGCAAAATATGAACATGTAGTAATGGTTTAATGTCTCTTTCCTTTCTTTGCTGTAATATTTCTTAAATGTTCATATTTTAGATACATTTAACATTGTTTTTGTTCTTGTACTATGCATGCTTCAGATGCCACACAAAAGACTTGCTTTTATATTTATAATTGTGCTAATGTTTTTTAGGTGTTGAGGGTTTCATTTTTTGGTCAGCCTTTTAAGTTAAGCATTGATTTGGAAATGGAGTAGACAGATAAAGGCATCTGACAATACAGATCCTTAAGCATTTCAAGTCCATAGGTATCCTACCATCTCTTGTTTTGGTGCTATAGCCCTATAGAAGGTATCTCTCTGTGGAATATTTTTTTTCATTCAACTATTTCAGCAAATTTTAACTGTAGTTGATTTTCAATATTAGGTAGGGTTATTGGCCTACTGAAAACCAAGAAGTAATAAGTGGTGACTGGCATTATTTGTTTCTAAGCAAAATGTTAACAGCACTTGGATTCATTTTAATTTTGCTTTCTCTTTTTGCTCTAGTGGCTACGATATTCCTCTGAATCCTCTGCATTTAATACCCTTCTATGCTGGGGCTCGTTTTCATGATTTCCATCACATGAACTTTATTGGCAACTATGCTTCAACTTTCACATGGTGGGATAAAATCTTTGGTACAGATTCTCAGTATGTTTCATATCAAAAGAAAGAGAAGAATCAAGAACTGTCGACAGAAAAGAAGTCCAAATAAACTTCCCACAGCAAATTGCTTCCATCTTTCTTTCGGGCTAAAACTGGTAATTAACTCATGATAAAAAATTATAGCGACATTTTGCTTTTAAGTAAAGCAAAAGTTAAGCTTGTTCCTTGGCTACAAAGTGGTAGAGAAAATTCTTAATTACATTGTATTATCTTCCTAATGGGAATACTTTTCTATTTTATACATAGCTCTAAAGTATATATATTCAGTACTTTAAGATGAATTTTAAAATTGCATAGGTGACTTGAAAGTTTTTGTCATCTGTTCAAGAGTTTTGTTAAACTTTTTAAAAAGTTTATCTATAATGTTGCCCCATTTGGATTCAGATAGAATTACGTACATTACAATATACTGAAATTGGACTTGTATTTGTATTACAGCTTTAAGATTAAAAAACAGTAACCCCATTAAAACTGTGGTAGTCGCTATATTTAAACCTTAAGCAAATGGAAAGAATTTGATTTGGAAACCAAAATACCATAAGTTGATAAGGAGGTTGGACCAGCCATTTGCACACTGAATAATGCAAGCTATTAATTCTAAAAGAGCTGGCTGTATGTTCAGAAACATTCCTGACATTAGTGCGGTGTATTATTTTAGGGGTAGAAAAGGGTTTTGGTTTTACTTGAAGCCTTTTTTGCTGCTCTTTGAGTTAGTCGGTGTTCTTAGCATTTACATTACATTTCCTTCTGTGTGTTGTAATTTGCTAAACTGACTTGTTGCTAGATTTGCACTTGTGGATTACAAACTACAATAAATGTGTTGATTTGACATAATGTGTGTGTCCTTTTATATCTTCTAAGTTTTTAATGCAAACAAATGAGTTCCACTCCAATGCTTTTCCACAAATGACGGGAAAAGAGAAGACTGAGAGGGGATATAACAGCTGTCAAACACCTAAAAGGATGTTGCAAAGAGGAGGGAGAAAAAAATATTCTCCTTAATCTCTGATGATAGGGCCAGAAGCAGTGGTTTTAAACTGCATTATGGAAGATTTAGGTTGGACATTAGGAAAAACTTCCTGTCAGCGAGGTTAAGCACTGGAATAAATTGCCTAGGGAGGTTTCATTGGAGATATTGAAAAGCAGGTTAGACTAATATCTGTCAGCAGGGATGATGCAGATGGTGGTTGGTCCTGCCCTGCCATGAGTGCATGGGACTGGACTTGATGACCTCTTGAGGTCTGTCTTTTACAGTTCTAGTATTCTATGATATAAAAAAAAAGTAAAAGATGTTCTGATGCCAAAAGTGGCAGAGGCATATAAATATTTAACATAACTATTATACTCCAGAAGAAATAGTTCTAACTCCTTTAGCCCCCTCACGCCCCCTCTTATTAGAGGGGGGAAATACTGTGTACATTTAGCTGTGCACAAGGTTGTCAGTAAAGGGACCTGATATATTAGAAATGCCTCTCAAAATACTTGCTTTCAGGCTCTTAAGATACTTGCTGTATACTTTTATTTCTGTGCAATAACCAAAGTGGTCATTGGTGACTGAAGGCATGTCTACACAAGCACTTACTACGCCACAAGCTGGGCTGTAAATCTACAATGATTCAATAATCTGGAGTTGTTTCTTGTTATATTTTTAGAAGATTACCATCAAATATGTCACTCCTATGGATGGGTTGCAGCACATTTTTTCATAGACTCTCATCAAGACTTCCTACTCTTCATCAGATAGATGAAGTGCATTGGTTTTTATAGAGGAGAATGATGAAGTTAAAATGTGTGTATTAAGATAACTGTAGCTGCTGAAAATTTCAGCAATTACACAGTTACCCATGCTGCAGGCTCTGCAATATAAAGTTCAGCTTTATACTGCAGGGCCTGTAGCAAAAGCTCCCCAGGAGTGGGGCTGTCAGCCTCTGCCCATCCAGCTCCCAGAATGGAAGCTTTGCTGCAGCAGTGAAGCCTTCTCCCTGGAAGCAGGGCAGGCAGCTCTTGCTTGCTAGCTGCTCACCCAGCTCTTGAGAAGGAGGCTTCATTGCATCAGCGAAGCCTTCTCCCTGGGAGTGGAGCAAGCAGCCCAATGTCTGTGGAGGTGGCTTCACCAGCCTGCTGCAGTAAAGCTGCCTCTCTGGGAGCTGGCTGAGTGTAACAGAGACCATTAACCATGAGTAACAGCGTATCGATTTAAACAGTTATTCAGTTATATTCTTAACATCCCTAGAAGAGAGTTTTGTTTACGCTGATTTATAGATGGACTATCTGCTTCTGCTGTTGGGGTTCAGGTGTAGGCAGAGAGAACTAGATTGGGGTGTGAATGGACCTTCATAGTAGGTCTGTCAGCGAAAACTACAGTACAGCACGATGAGAATAATTGTGGCCTTGACTCTTGATGATGAAAAATCCATTGATGCATACAAGAGGACATCAGAGCACTGCAAAAGGGGTATGTCCAGAACTGGCCTTGGACACAAACTTTCTCAGGAACTGCATTTCTGGCATTGACATCAGTGGTGACCACGTCTATCATCAGGGTTCCCATACACAGGAATATAGGTTGTATGATAGACTTCCACAATGATTACTCACATGGCTGTTGACTCTATGCTCAAAAAATCTGCCAGGTTGTTGCTGACACTTGAGAGGTAGTGCCACTTGCATAAGATAACTATGGCTCTATGTTATGGCTTCCTGTCAGAGAGGAGATACTCATGGTTTAATGGTAAGTAACCTCAGTAAGATGAACTTAATTCAACACAGCTTTTTCTTAATTTCATTTATTTATTCGGAGAGATGCTTGAGAAATCAATGGAACAACAAATGTTTACATTTTCCTTAGTATTTCAGTTGCATGTTGCCTGTTCTCTGCTGTAGTACACCCGACCTTCGGAAACCATCACTCTACACTGTGTATTGGAAATCAGTAATCAGATGCTATCAGGAGACTCATCTTTCTGCTGTGCTAATTCAATGCTGTAGATGATAATTTGAAAGCAATAGTGCAGGGATGGGCAATCATTTTTGATGGGGGGACACTAAGAATTTGGCAAGTGGTCAGGTACTCTTATATTAATGGAGGAGGTGTGGGTGCAGAAGGGAGGTTGGGGTAACCATTGGAGTGCAGGAGGCAGTCTGGGATATGAGTGGGAGTTTGGGGGATGTAACCTGGAGCAGGGAACTGGAGTGTAGGAGGGCATATTTGTGCAGGACACAATTCTGACTTGTAGGAGGGGGTGCAGGGTCTTGGAAGGGTTGTGACCAAGGGCGTGGAATTTGGTTTGTGACCTGGGGTTGGGGTGTAAGGTTTGGGAGGGGGTATAGGTGCAGGAGATGATTCTGACCTGGAGAAGGGGTGCAGGGTCTGGGAGGAGGTTGTGACCTGGAGCAGGAGTGAAGGAGGGGCTTGTAACCAGGGAGAGGAGTACAAGAGGGGCTGCAGGGATTTAGGTTGTGACTGGGGGAGGGTGGGGAAAAAGGGATTGGGAAGCCAGCCAGGGAGCTGTGAGATTTTGCCATGTGATGAGCCTCTCCGCCTTGCAGTATTCACAGAGCCTTGCGGACGGCTTTTCTGAACACAGAGTGAAGGCAAGCTGGGCAGGTATGGTGACTTGGTGGGCTGGCTTCAGCCCACAGGCCAAATTTTGCCCGGCACTCGTCTAAACTTTTTTGTTTATGTGAACCTTGCTCTTCATTCTACCAGCTCTTGATAACAAGTTGCCATTTTGTTAGGTCTGCCTGAGTGCCTAAGAACTCCTCTCCAAAGGTGGTTCTGAAGGCAGCCTGTTGTTGTTGTTTGAGAGGAATGGATCCCAAAATCCCTAAATTAGCACTCTTATTTCACAAGGGCACAGACCACACTATGAAGGATGCAGCAGCAGTAGCTTAGTGTACACCAGAGAATGTTTAATGTGCACCAGCAGGATCTACAGAGATAGTTGCCATGTCAGAAGCTGTAGTATTATATATTTACACACCAGCTTACTCAGACTAAGAGTACGCCTAGACTACATGCCTCTGTCGCCAGAGGCATGTAAATTAGGCTACCAGACATAGTAAAATGAAGCGGCGATTTAAATAATCACCGCTTCATTTAAATTTACATGGCTGCCGCGCTGAGCCGACAAACAGCTGATCAGCTGTTTGGTCTCCCCTTTTAGGAACTACTTGTTTTGGAAGGAGGGTACGTTTAGACTACATGCCTCTGTCGCCAGAGGCATGTAGATTAGGCTACCAGACATAGTAAAATGAAGCAGCGATTTAAATAATTGCCGCTTCATTTAAATTTACATGGCTGCCGCGCTGAGCCGACAAACAGCTGATCAGCTGTTTGTCGGCTCAGCGCGGCAGCCATGTAAATTTAAATGAAGCGGCAATTATTTAAATCGCTGCTTCATTTTACTATGTCTGGTAGCCTAATCTACATGCCTCTGGCAACAGAGGCATGTAGTCTAGACGTACCCTAAGTGCTTATGTGGACCTGCCTTTAATCCCCAATCACCAATGGGTGTTGGACGGAGACAAAAGTGTACAGCAAGTATCTTAAGAGCCTGAAATTGAGTCTTTGAGAGGCATGTCTAATAAACATTCCCTTTTACTGAAAACCTTGGGCACTGTCAGCTAAGTTTAGCCAGTTGGCATTCTCACCCGCTAATAAAAAATATAACTTAGATAGGGCCACGATAAGGTGGGTGCATAATTGGCTGGATAACCATAGTCAGAGAGTTGTTGTTAACGGTGCTAAATCCTGCTGGAAAGGGATAACAAGTGGAGTTCCGCAAGGGTCTGTTTTGGGACCCGTACTGTTCAATATCTTCATCAATGATGTAGATATTGGGATAGAGAGTACGCTTATTGAAGGGCTCACGGCGGAGGCAGGCGGCTGGAGGCCCTGAGAGGCGCCGTCCTGGAGGCGGGGGGCAGACCTCCCAGGTGAGAGGGGCCCCCCCAGAGAGGGTCGCCGCACTGGAGTGGCCCCCTGAGGAAGAGCCATCTCACTGCCGCTGGAGTGGAGGGGCTCCCCGAGAAGGGGCCATTGCACTGGGGGGGGGGAGGTT